ATGTATTTATTGTACTTTGCCTGGATTAAGTATCATACTCATACGCATCTTTTAGTTTGAACATGTGACTCTTCAAGTATAGTAATGTATGTAAGCAACTTTCAGTCAAGCCACAGAGTAAAGAGTAAGTTGGTTTCTTTACTCATGTGGTCAAGCCACGCTGACAACACGGTACCTTGGTAAAATCCAATTTCGAGTCCCAACTCTCGTCGATAGTGAACGCTCAAATTTTCATTAAATATATAAACGACAAATTTTCCAAACTACTTGGGCGGAGTCGATGGTAAGCGTATTAAGTATATAGATGTTAAAAACCTGCAAGAAGACGACAACTGCGTGTTACCTATACAGATCTATACAATGCCAAAAATTCGTGCAACGCAACGTAACAAATATAATAGTATTCCAAAGAATTTAAATCCGGTGCGTTAATTAGTGCGTGTGCTTTTACAAAATTATGTGGATCTATGGTTCACAGGTTTTCAATGCCAAAACTTCGTAAACGACGCAACATAACAAAATAATGTAATAGCATTCTAAATAATTTAAATCCGGTGCGTTAATTAGTGCGTGTGCTTCTATGTGGTTCTATGGTACACAGGTTTTACAGAAAAAACAAACGAATGTTTACCACATTGCGCGCTAGTCCTTCGACGTACATAGGTTTACTAGCTGCAGGATGACGCTTTGGGTGCTGTCATGCATGCATTATCGATTATCGTTTAAAATTGTATTCATTTATGGGAACGACATACTAGCTATGAGCACAGAATATTTAATAGTACTATATATACTACGACAAACACGCACGCATGATCGTCTTTGGATTGGCATATCAGGCAACATCTCAGTGGGATACAAAAAGAAAAACTATAAATGGACAAACACAAATAAATCTCCCTTTGAAATTGTCACTTAAAATTTAAGAAACAATACCTCATTTTACAAGTTCTACAACAACTCAAAGACCTCTTTAGTGCTATACAGGAGGTCGTGAAATGCGATAAAATGATTAATGATATTGTTATTCGAAGGTTTGTCAGTTCGTCATCCTGCGTTACCGTCTAGCTCTAGAGTATGATTGAGAGCTTGAGATCTTAGAAGTGATTGCATTTTCTACCGACCAAAGGAGACGGTACTCAATTTGACTGTATGTTTTTTTTAAATTTTTTTATGTGTGTTACCTCATAACTTTTTTCTGGGTGAACCGATTTCGATGATTCTTTTTTATTTGAAAGCTGGTGCTTCTCATGTGGTCCCATTAAATTTGATCAAGGTCTGACCAATAGTTTTTGAGTTATTCTTAATAATTTATATTGAAGTAGGTTGCACAAAATTTTAATTAATGCGACTTGTAAACTGCTAAAATGTGAACATAATTTGTCCGATATTAATTGGCTATTGTTGCCTCATTACGTGAAAGCGATTGGCTCGTTGGTGTAGTGGTCTATAAGCGCTACTGTTGAGCATGATCTGGTTTTGAATTCCGGGTAGGGTCAAAATGTGTATTTCTGCCAAGAAATTCTCAGTAACAGCCCGGTGTCAGGAAAGCAATTGCACCTGTTCACGATTTTACGACTCTGTGTACATAATTCGATAGCAGCAGAGAAAGAGTGGTAATATCCGTGTTGCAAGAAGTAATAAATCGTGTTACGACATCGGCACCGTGCGAACGCGACCTGCAGCCGGGGTTACTGTCCTTGATACGCTGTTTTCGCAGAACTATTATTTTCTTTTTGAAACGGCCTTTCTTCATCGACTGTTGTGAATGTAGGCCTGTTCAAGGATATAAAGAATAAACTAAAAAAACTTTACCGCCACAAGAACTTCTTAAACATTTTTTTTTTACTTATTATAAGTCAGTCCTCGTCTACAATTGAGTGGTAGGTAATTGGTGGTGAAGCTTTAGATAGTAAATCGCACTGTCTTAGCGTATCAAAAGCATATTTACCCTAGCCTTGAAGACGCCCAGAACTCTGAATTTATTCAATAAAAAAATGCGGTTGCCAACCCACCTGCAAATCGTGACAACTCTAGGAAGTTCCCCTGTATGAGGCAATCTATGGGTGAAGCCTGGTAAAAGTAAAAAATTACTTTCAATAAGTATTGCTTGTAATCTATATTGAATAAAAATGATTCTATTCTATTCTATGTTCAGCTGTAGACTTTTTATGGGCTGTTACAAAGACATTTAAGTAGTAGTAGTAATAGACCGGACATCAGCAGCAAAATTGTCGCCTGTAACTTATGTTCTATAGGATATATCTCCGTTAGTCTTAGTGACATCGTCATAAAGTCAAGACGCATTCTTTTCATATCTTTAAAAAATATTTTTATAGAAAATATGCCCGGTTGTGCATTAAGATATTGTAAATCACGATATAGAGCAAAAAATGAACGTGATTTTGGTATGTTATCGTAAGTATAACGTATATTTACCGAATAATCTTTAAATTTTATTATTTCTAGTAGATTGTTCTAGAAAATTTATTTTTATTGTACTAAGCGCCCTCTGTTATCCTGTAGCGTCACTATTTATTTAAAGTTAGTGATTGACGACGTTTATCGATTGGGGTTATGGATAAACGTCGTCAATCACTAATATACAGGATGCAGATTTAATCATTTACAATATTTAAGGAGGTAAAACAGTCAAATATACTGTACCCATACCAACAAAAATGAATAGCATATACCAACTATGCTAAGTAGCCTACTTTATGTGGAAGGGTGGGAAAATTTTTTTAGGCATGATGATGAGATTTTCTGTGTTGCTTATGAACATGCTGAGGATACTTGCTGTGTTGATGTTTAGCAATACAGCAAGTTTTACATTGGCCGTTAGTTTGGACATAGCGAAGGCCTTCGATCGGGTCTGGCACAAAGCGCTTCTTTCGAAGCTTCCTTCCTATGGGCTTCCCGAGAAATTGTGCAAATGGATCACCAGGTTCCTTGCTGATCGGAGCATCAAGGTCGTAGTAGACGGTGCATGCTCTGATTTCAAGCCTATCAACGCAGGTGTTCCACAAGGCTGCGTGCTATCACCAACGCTGTTTCTCCTGCATATCAATGATATGTTGCTAACTGGTAGCATTCATTGCTATGCAGACGACAGCACTGGTGATGCCTTATATACCGGCCGTGCCAATATTTCTCGGGAAAACGTCGCTGAGTACCGGGACAAACTTGTGTCTGAAGTCGAGTCTTTGCTTAACAAAGTCTCGGATTGGGGCCAACTAAATCTAGTCCAGTTCAATCTCCAGAAGACACAAGTTTGCACGTTTATCGCTAAAAAGAACCACTTTGTCGTATCTTCTCAGTTTCAAGGCACTCCCCTTGCTGCCTCAGCTAGTATCGGAATCCTTGGCGTCGACATATCGAATAGTGTGCAGTTTCGTGGTGACTTGGAAGGGAAGGCCAAATTGTCCTCTAAAAAGCTTGGCGTGCTCAGCAGAGCAAGACAGTATTTCATTCCGGCACATCGCTTGCAACTTTACAAAGCTCAAGTTCGGCCCCACATGGAATACTGTTCTCATCTCTGGGCTGGCGCACCCCAGTGCCAGCTCCTTCCACTTGACCGCATCCAGCGCAGAGCGGTTCGAATCGTCGACGACCGAGTTCTTTCTGATCGGCTCGATACACTGGCACTGCGTAGAGATGTTGCATCTCTTTGCGTATTTTATCGCATCTATCACGAGGGGTGCTCTGAGGAATTGTTCGGACTAATTCCAGCCGCTCAATTTCACCATTCCACATCGCGACAAAACTCGCGTTACCATCCATACGGATTGGCGGTCCACCACTGTGCGATTTAGAAGATGTTTTCTTCCTCGCACAACTTCCTTGTGGAATAGTTTTCCACCAGCGATTTTTCCGGACCGATACGACTTAGGGACCTTCAAGAAAAGAGCTTACACCTTTCTAAAAGGCCGGCAACGCATCTGCAATTCCCCTGATGTTGCGGATGTTCATGGGTGGCGGTAGTCACTTACCATCAGGTGAGCCGCATGCTCGTTTGCCCCCTCTTCTATAAAAAAAAGCAAGTCTTCTCTTTTTCATACCGGGCTTCATTGTCTGGTGGTATTCAAGGACAAAACCATTATAGATCCTGGCTTACAGTGATAAGAGAGTGCTATAGGCTTGTGACATTAAAAAAATTGTACTGTTAAAGATATTAAATTCAAGAAGTTGTAGGTTAAGCCTGAGTTAGAAAATAAGGTAAAAACTTAAAATAATAATTTTTAAATAAAACTAATTTTACGGATTTTATCGCGTATATTAACTTATTTTATATTCCCGACGTTTCGGGCACTTTTCAGCACTCATGGTCACAGGGGGACTGAGGTGTATGACGTCCACGATTTGATAGACCACAAATCCTCGCTAATGAACACCGATTCCTCCCCAGGATGATTCGCGAGGCTATTGAAATTAAAAAACATCCTAATTTCAATAGAGAAGATGGTGCTACCATCTGCTTGGGATCCCATAATTGATAAAATTAAATCCCAAACCAAGCATACAACTGCAAGACTTCATGATACTGTAAGTTCATACTGCGTAGATCGGAACAAAAATTAATAATTTTTAATCTGAAGGTAGCCGTGGTTAACTATGACATTGGGATTATTGCACTGTACTCCGAAAGGGACGTTGCGTCATTTTACGTTCACTTGCCCAATTAACGTAAATTATAAAATGCCATAGTACGTGAGCAACCCACATTTGTTCGCCGTCGGCACCAATAAAATTGTTAATTGAAATTTATAATGTTTCTATTCCTTCATTTTTACACCTTTGTCCACAAATATAATTAACGTTTTGCAAATCAGTCAGCGGTTAAAGCCTTTCTTTACCATCTTTTATAAATATACTTCTAATTTGGTTTCGAATGGATGTATCTACTGCCATATGTTGGTCGTCAGAACTTCGTTCAGGAGTGGTAGTTGTCCCGTATACATAAAAAACAATTATTAAACATAAATAATTTGCATTTTCAGCTATCACAGGCAGCACGGATGGAATCGGCAAGGAATATGCCATGGAACTGGCACAACGAGGCTTAAACATTGTCCTCATCAGTCGAAATGAGGAGAAGCTGAACAACGTAGCCCGGGAGATAGGTAAGGATCCTCTTATATTGCATTTTTGCCGACTTTAAGCAAGGAGAGTGTTATGAATTCGATTGTGTTTTAAAATGTATGTAATATAATTTCTATAAGGCTAGTTAACCGAGAAAGAATTTTTGACAACTAAATCATTAAATTCTTCTCCTACTGTCGCCGAATCATTGCTCAAACAAAATGTAAAGGCTTGTTTAAATACTTTTAAATTCCATAGAGTACTGCCAAAAGATATCGTTAAATATTTTAAAACTATTGATGTTAAGAAAACGGCAGACTTATGGGGGATTTCCGTTAAAGTTATTTTATCTATAATAGATATAATAGCACCTTATCTAGCCACTATATTTAATACAAGCGTCGAAACTAGTGTGTTACCTGATTTAATGAAACATAATAAAGTCATACCTTTATTTAAATCTGGTAGTACATTAGATCCCGCCAATTTTAGACCAACTTCTGTACTACCAACATTTAGTAAATATGTGAAAAAATAATTTTAGATCAAATGGTAAGTTTCTTTAATATTAATAAATTGCTACATAAAATGGTTTTACAAGGGGTCGCTCGTCAACTGACGCTGGAGTTGAGCTTATTAAACATATTTTTGTGCATGGGAGAATTCAGAGGATGGTTTGGGTATATTTTGTGACTTTTTCAAGGCCTTCGACTGCGTTCACCATGAGACATTAATCAGGAAGCCACAGTACTATGGTGTCAAGATCACAGCGCTTAAACTTATTATTTCATATTTAAGTAAAAGAATGAAGAAAGTTATTATCAATGGTAAAAGTTCTTACGGGTCACCTGTACTAATGGGTGTCCCTCGGGGCTCGATTCTCGGCCCATTCCTATTTCTAGTGTATATTAATGACTTACCTTCCCATGTAGAGGACAATCACGATATAGTATTATTTGCTGATGATACTTCCTTGATTTTTAAACTTAAACGTTAATCATTTAAATGTGACGAAGAGAATAATGTTATATCAAAATCTCAGTATATTTACGAAAATTTAATGTATGTTCACAAAAACAAAGGTAGTTTTAGTAAAAAAAGTGATATACATTCTGTAAACACTAGGAACAAACACAAGCTAGTGACACCAGTTTGGAGTCGCACAGGGTCAGTAATTCATTCTTGGAGCAATGTATACGCTATTACAACATGGTCCCGGAAAGCGTACAGGCTCTCTCTATTACCAAGTTTAAAGTTGAAACTGTATAAAAAGGCTTTTTGTGTGAGACATTATAGTATAAATGAATACATGGTTGATAATAACCCCTGGGAATAAGGTGGTAGTTTCCAAGCTGTTTCTAAAATAAATTTTGTTCTTATATAGTTTGTAAAACCATTAATGTAAAATTTGCTTTAAAAAAAAGTCCCGTTGAGTTTCTTGCTGGTTCTTGACAGGACAGAGGTTTTTTTCGAACCAGTGGTAAAGTAAAAAATGACTTTCAATAAGAATTACACACGTAATCTATATTGAAAAAAAAAAGAATGTTACTTTCAAGTTAGTCACATTATTTCTATTAGATCCGATGATAGTTAAAGTCAGTTTATTTTATTTTTTAATACACTGGAGCTAAGAACCTTAAAAATTCATCAAAATCAGTCAAGCAGCTTAAACAAATCTCGTTTAAATATATAAAAATAATTCAACTAAGAAAAATTGACAAAAAATGGCGTGATCTCGTATATTTTTTTCTAAATATTACTCGTAAGCCTGACCGAAACAAAATAAAACCATTAATGACTTATCTACTATCGCAAACCATGTCTAAAATATTTTCAGAGTATAAAAACTCTCTTAAGGGATTAAGGAGGACCGCAAGAGGAGAGAGACTACATCATTTACCATTTCGTCCCATCCCGTGGGTGTCGTAAGAGTCGACTATGGGAAAATTCAGAAAAGTCCCAATGGTAATGAAACCACTGGAAGGCGGCATACCATTTCGTTTACGTCAGACATAAGAGATAAACATAAATTCTCACGCCTGCCATCTAGAGGGGTAGGTAGACACAACGGACTATTTAATATGATCCCGACATATCATCTCGCTTAAAAACTGATATAAAAAAAGAAAGCAACAGATAGGTATGCGTCAAATCTAAAAACCAAGAAGGAATGTCTAACAGCCGGTAATTATACTGTGTACAGACACTCATATCTGGCGGCAGAAATAGGTAAGAAAATGGTACCTACACAGACGGTCTCGGTTTATTATTCTATTCCTTGTTTTCATGTGTAGAAGGACTTCAGTTCGTTTAGACATTTTACGACGCAATTTTAAACATTCAAAAGCATAACAAAACATTGCCTCATACTTTGTAGTATTATCTCATAAACGTAATGTATGATTTCTATTGTATGCACCATACACTTTATGTTATGTTTGTTTCATATTGATCGTTTCTTTTTCTTGACTTTTAAATGAAAAAGAGTTTGTTATTGTTTACACATTTTACGATGTGCAAACAGAGACAATGGACTTCCATTTGGCACGATCCTGATACACCTCTCTCGCCTTCTCCACATCCATGTACCTACGCATACACGCTCGTCGGTTAAAGGTACTCTTGATTTGGCCCATTTTCAATTTTTTTTACGATATTACAAAAATATTTATGTTTGTATATGTATGTGCACAAAACTTACCAATTCATTCACCGTTACAAAATTACAAAATTTCTCAACGGAACGTTACGATTTTGCCGACATAGAATTTAACATTTAAATAAATCGTTTGGTCACATGTTTCTCTATCTTATTGATTATTTTTAAATAGGTACCTATACTTATTAATTAAAATAATAGTTATTAACTTACTATTTAAAACGTGCAACTCACCTTCGAAAACTCCGTCAGTCAGTGGAAATTATTTAAGATCAAAGAGATCAAATAGATTTAAATATATGTATTTGTTTAAGATATGTTATTGATGGTGAGTCCTTCTAAGACAGCGTTTTTTTAAACATACTTATAATTTTATTCGAAACGTGTATTCGTACAGAAACAGAAACAGAACCTTTTTTATTCAATATAAATTATAAATAATCCTTATGATATGAATGTCACTCTTTTGTTTAATTACCACTGGTTCGGAAAAAACCTCTGTCCTGGGAAGAGCTAGCAAGAAACCCAGCGGGAGTTTTTTTTTAAATTATAGCTTACGATCACGTATATTACACAATTAACAGAAAATAAATTTGAAATAGCTTGGTAGCAATCACGTCATTCCCAGGGGTTATTATCATCAATAAATTACTTTATATTATAATAACCCTCTTTATACAAACTTAGTTTAATAAAGTTTTTGATCTTTATGCACGGGAAACTTTGTATATTTTGTAAACTTTTGTAAAAGCAAATTTTATATAATCAGTAATGTAGCTCATAGGAATAACTGAAGTAAATATTTTCTACCGACTTAAAAAAAAAAGACGGTACACAATTCGACTGTATGTTTTTTTATGTGTGTTACCTCATAACTTTTTACTGGGTGAACCGATTTCGATGATTCTTCTTTTATTTGATAGCTAGTGTTTCACATGATGTGATCCTATATAAATTTGATTAAGGTATGAAAAAAATTTTTGAGTTATTATTATTTATATTGAAGTCGGTTGTACAAAATTTTATATTTTAAATTATGTGTCCTCTGGTCTCTCCAATTTTTGTAATATTATGAGAAATATTCCTGATACCTATAATAATAAATTATAAAATGTTTACATTGCGTTTGATTCATAATATTTACAAACGAACATTTCGTTTCTCAATGGAACGATTTCTTACGACTTTCAACAGCATACTAATTTGCAGATTACATTGCAGAGATCAGTTATAAAATCAACCTTTGATTACTCTTTTGATTATAAAATCGTAATTATATTGTACACAACTCTCAACACTAACAAAAAATTTTAAGGCTTTTTTTTTTACGAACAAATTTATACATTAAGCTTGCGAATAAACTTCCGACTTTCGAACTTAGTTATAACGATCCTTTTCAAACTAATTTGAAGCCCATTTTTCAGACGTTAGAGTGATAAAGGAACTATCAAGTGTGTGTGTGTGTGTGAGTGTGACCTTACTTACCGTTACATCACATAATACATAATAGTACAGATACCGCTGCAGTAACTGCTGCAGACATTGCACAACAAAGGAGGCTGCTCATGTGTTTTAAACTAAAGATTAAGATTGGATGTTCGCAAAACAGTAGAGCTTCCTATGCTGCGTTTTGCTCTGAAGGGTGTAGAGAGCCAGTAAAATACTAATTATTCGATAGCGTTTGACTGCCGTGAAAAAAACATTGTATGGCCTACAATTGTTCCGGTATCCAGTATCGGTATCGACCGGGTCCAAATGTGAATCTAAGTCATAGGGATCCATTAAAACACAAAAAGTCATCGAATTCGGTCGTGCCGTTTATGAAATAGTAAAAGTTTTAGCGAGAATAATGATAATTGATTTTTATGTATAGAAAGATGCACCCATGTCTTCTGTGATCTAAAAAAGTCGCAGTGATTTAACTCCCTAAATGTTGTTGGTTACAGAAAAGCAGTACAGCGTGAAAACAAAGACTATTGTGGCCGACTTCAGCGCCGGTATCGAAGTGTACCGACATATCGAGGAGCAGCTCAAAGATATTCCTCTTGGAGTTTTAGGTACGTGATCGGTGGGCATCGGGCGCACAAGTACTGTGTAGTGGCGTTGTAAGAATCTTAAACCCAAGATGACGACCGGAAAAATATCAGGCGAAGGAGCAACGGCTTTACGTGCTCTTCGAGGGACGGAGTTGCAATCCCGCCTACTCCCTGACCCCGGGCTGCTACTGAAAATTTCTTGATAGAAACACTTAATAACTGATTTTTGAGGACACCGGATAAGCAGTAGCGCTTACGAATACCAGACGAACGAGGTAGACAAATTTGCCGTTATACCTGGTATGCGTATCATATCAGATCGCTTTACCAAAGTTTTGTAATCTCTATCGGAGAAAGACCACGCATTCACAGAATACCAAAGAATACCAGCGTAAAATAGCAGCAATGGTGAGTGTACAGAACCGAAGACCTTTTTTACTGGAAACGAGGCATTCCATTTTAGTTCTCAACGGTGACAACGCATCTGCATTTTAATTCTTAACCAGGGATAGACGTAAATGTTTATGGGCCACATCATCTCCTATCCAAAAACTACATTTCCAATCCGCACTCTGTATATTTAATTTCATTTTAAAGTACATATTTACTTATCTTGCATATTGTATGCTTCAGTGAACAACGTGGGGGTCCAATATGAATATCCGGCGTGGCTGTGGGAAGTGCCGCAGACGAAATTATGGGAGATCATCAATGTGAATGTGGGAGCGGTGACGTCGATGACGCGGATTGTGTTGCCGGGCATGATGGAGCGCGGCCGCGGAGCTATAGTCAACGTCTCTTCGGGTTCCGAGTTGCAGCCGCTACCGCTCATGACGGTCTACGCCGCGTCCAAGGTTAGCCTATTTCTTTTGGAAATAATTCATAAATTCTTCTTCTTAATCTTCAGATCGTACAGTCCACGGCTGGACATGGGCCTTTCACGTTGATGGAAGAATTATAATCGTCACGCTTGGCAGGCGGAGTCGATCTCGCACCAGACTTTCCGCAGTTTTGACGCCACTGCCTGTCTCCGGCCTAGGTATTGTACGTCTGCCGTAAACGAGATGGGTATATCGCTAACTATGGGAAGCCATGAGATCAAAATCATTTGTAGTCGACTCTTACGATTACCACGTAAGACGCGGTAAATCAACACTTAAAATTGCAATTAACTATTTATTTATAGGCGGTGGAGAATTTTACTGCTACCGCTCAGCCCCCGGGATACCGCAGCTCTATGCAACCAGAGCCGTGATAGCATTAAAATATAATTAAATATGTTTCTGTAATAAAATATTAGGGATGTATGCGATACCTATAACGATATATCGGCGACCTTTTATTGCCGATACAACCTAATATATCGAGAGAATCCGATTCACTTGTTTTCTGGCGTAATGATGTCCTATACTCACGCTTGAAAAAAAAATGGCGCAGAAGTACTCTAGTTTCCAAATGAGCTTTGTCGCATCCGAGAAACTATTTTATACCGCAGGTCTCATTCAAACATTCTTGTGAAATCTCGAAATCCCTTTTTCCACAAAATTTGAGAATTCTTTGTTTGTTCAACAAAAATTACATTAATGTTAATTTTTATTACTAACACTATAAATTATTAATTTTAATAACTAATAATCTCATTATAAGTCTATATTTTTTTAAATTAAAATCTTGTGCTTCAGTTTGCATTCATTAATATTGTTACTGTTGTTGTAAGAATATTTACTAATATAAGCCGATGCTCTTAAAATAGTAATAGTGGTACACTATCGCCTATATTTTTAGAGTATCGGTATCGGTGTCGTATAGGAAAAAAAGGTTTATTTATACAGATTAAATAAGAGTACTACGTACAGAAGTTGCATTTCTTTGATATTGACTACTTGCCGACATTTTAATAGTCTGCATAATTTTTTTATTGAATAAGAGTGACAAACGAGCTCACAGTCTACCTGATGGTACGTGGATGCTGTGGCCCATAGAAATCTACATTTATCCTCCTTTAAAAATCAAAATGCAGATGCGTGTCACCCGTGAGGTCTAAGATGGAATGCCTCGTTGCCAGTAAAAAGGATCCCCGGTTCTCTACACTCAGCAAAGAGTAAAAAATACAGTAGTGTTATATGGAACCGTGGATAGAGCTTTTTTTTTTTTAAACTATTTTTTACCCAACACGTTATATTACAGTAAAATTAACAATTAAGATGTAGTAAACTTAATATAAAGTAATAATGATATAGTAACGACCCGAGACGAATGAATGATACTGACATTGGAACGAGACTGATTGAAGATTGAATCGAGACTGATTTTGCGTTCGTCGGTAGTTCGGTTATATAGAATAGAATAGAATAGAATAGAATGATTTTTATTCAATATGGATTATTACATAATACTTATTGAAAGTCATTATTTTATTTACCACTGGTTCGGAAAATACCTCTGTCCTGGGAAGAACCAGCAAGAAACCCAGCGAGACTTTTTTTTTTAAACATAATTTCACTTAACAATAATTTTGTTTATACAATTTTAAATGAATTTTCATAGAACCAGCATGGTGGCGATCACCTTATTCCCAGGGGTTATTTTCATTCATGTATTCCTTGATATTATAATAACCCTTTTTGTACAGTTTTTCTTTAATAAAACTTTTAAATTTTTAAAAAAAAAATTTATTGACCAACTTTGAACATGTTCTGGGATTCTGTTGTAAAAGCGTATACATTGCCCCATAAATGAATTACTAATTCTGTGGAGTCTTGTAAGTGGCATTACAAGCTTATGTTTGTTCCTAGTGTTTAAGGTATGAACATCCTTATTCTTATTAAAGCTATTTATGTTTTTATGTACATACATTACATTTTCATAAATATATTGCGATGCCAAAGTTAATATGTTTATTTCTTTAAATTTTTCTCTAAGGGACTCTTTACAATTTAGATTATAAATCGCTCGTACGGCTCTCTTTTGCAAAACAAATATAGCTTCAATATCAGTCGCATTACCCGATAGCAAAATTCCATAAGACATTACGCTATGAAAGTAACTAAAATACACTAACCTAGCTGTCTCATCATCTGTGAGACTTCTAATCTTTCTTACAGCATATGCTGCAGAACTAAGTCTGCTTGCTAATTTAGATATATGGGGGCCCCATTGAAGTTTCGCGTCAATAGTAATACCGAGAAAAACAGTGGTATCCAATATATAGGATTTATGTAGCTGAAAGAGGTGCGTCAACCTATCTCCTAACATCGATGTGGTATTCATACGCTACGCATAGTACGTTTTAATTATTTATTTAATTTAAAATAGTTTTATTTAAAATAATATCTTACATTTTTACCGTCTCTGAAATAAAAGTCATAAAAATTAAGAACGCAAAAAGCTCCAAATCTGACTGAGTTATAATTTAAAATTAATATTTATTAATGATTTCAGTAAATTAATTGATGAGGTTTTTCATTATTATATTTTCAAAATTGTTAATGAATGTATTTACTATAATATATATGTATGTCGGATAATTATTCAACAGAGGATCTCAATTTTGATCTTGGAAATACATCAGGATAGCGTTAATTGTTAAAAATAATAAAAGTGTGAGAGCGGATGTTCAACTTGCTCTCTTGCTTACGCAGTTTAATCATTATCAGTAATAAGACAACGTAACGCACTATACATTCACTATAGTGAAATTACAGTACACACCAGTGTAACGTCAGGTACGTAATTACATGATAACACCAAAATATGTAAACCAACAGCAACACTTCTTATCTCAATGTAACACAGGGCAGCCTCTCAGCAACACCAATCCTCCTTGTCTGCACTAGAAGAATTACAACAACGAACAGAACCACAACACTGTCTTAGCAGCCAGGGCTCGGAACCGGTTTAAAAAGAGCGGTTAATTTCGATTAATGACCGGTAAATTTATCGCTCCTTCAATTACCGGTTAAAAAATTAACCGGTTTTTATCAAACCTAAACGAAAAAGGTTACCGGTTACTTAACGGTTTCGATACCCAAATTAACCGGTCAATTCCGTAAAACGTAAAGGCAGTTATGAATAGGACAGGTAGATTCACGTTGCGAGGTGCTTATATATATTGCGGCATCACCGCATGCGGGCACACTTATCAATTATCTGCCTTTACATTGTTTTAGTCGCGATCAGGGTGTGTAGTGGGAGTTTGGCGTTTACGAAAAACGTGAAAGTATTAGAGAAGTTTTGAAGAAAGAAAGGCAGTTATTGTGTTTGCTTTATTCGTTAAAACTGGACTTGTCTCATAATGAAGAAAATAATTTATTCTTGTGTATCGGTTGTTTATTTATGATGGGCAGAAAATAAGTAAATACAATTTATTCCATGTTTACGTTTTAACAGTAATAGAGCCACGCGGCAGCTTTTGCTATCGCATGGATGGGCCAGCTCGAACCAGGGTAGTACCACGATCTGACAGAATACAAGCGTGAAGTAGAAGTTTACTTCTGCGTTTCGCTTGGTAGGTGTAGGTGGTCGGAGGCCCAATTCCCCCCTCCCCCTTAGAATATGGTAGCGGAATCAAATAAAAAACTGCCCCAGGGGGGTACCAGAATCCTGTTGACGGAGAATCCTTCGCTGAGCACCCGCGCCCAAGCTACCCTACTGTTTCTGAGCATGTGTGCTCAAGCTGCCCCGCGTATTCTGGTATACGGGGGAAGGGGGGGGGGGGGGGGGTATCCGCAGAGATCGTGTACTTGGCTATTTTAATGACCATCAGCCATCACGCCGAATGGCTCGGTTCACATTTAACCGATCATGTGGGGAAATTCGTTTATGACTTTGCCTTGGCATATGGTTGCACAGCTGGTTAATTTGCCTACGCGGATTCCAGATGTGGAGGATCATGCGCCTTCCCTGTTGGAACTTCTGCTGACCTCTTATCCGGACGGATATCAGGTTTCCGTCGACACCCTTCACGGCTACTAGGGTCATTGTCTTGCCCGGAGGGTGGTGTCACTCGCACTATCTTTGCGGTTGCATTCTGCAGGCAGCCGCTGTGTTTGGCACTATAGATTGGCCGATTGGGAAAGGATGCGGTCTTTTTTTTGCATTCTACCCTTGAGGGCGAATTTGCTTCTCGCTGGACAATCCCAGCAATGTTGCTGATTCTGTTGCTGATATGGTACTTGAGGATATGGAACGTTTTATTCCATCTTCTGTGGTGCCCATCGGAGGCAGATTCCAGCCATAGTTTGGTCGCTCATGTAAAATAGCATCACACTATAAGCAAGAGTGCTACCAGCACTGGGCTAACGACATCTTTACATTCCGAGACGTTGATGTATCGAGATGTAAACACCAGCGCTCTTCAAAAGAAGTATGATTCCGCCTCCAGGTTCTTCAAAATTCATTGCCAAGGCAAGGTCAGAGCACATCAGCGGAGTTGGTGAGAGGCTAGTTCGCCTTCCTTTGGTAACCCGTACATTCTGGTCTTTTGCTAAGGCTGTCCAAGGGAACTTCTGTCAGCCATCTCTGTAAAGAGAGGGTGACTCACTGAGTCCATGCCACAAAGGAGAAAGCCGATTTGTTAATCTCTCTTTTTGCGTCCAACTGGACTCTCGATAACGGAGGAATACACCCCCGACCATCTCGCGGTTTGAGTGCTCCATGCCAGATGTGCGGGTTATACAGCGCTCGGTTCCCTTCCATTGTGCTGAAGACGTATGCTCCGAAGTTGGTACCTGTTTTAACGCGTCTTTTCCGGTACTTCTACTCCTAAGGCGTTATCCCAAATTCATGGAAGACAATTTTGATTCAACCTATCCCTAAAAAAGGCGACCGCTCAGACCCTTCAAATTACAGGCCTATCGCCATCACCTTGTTCTCCAAAATAATGGAATCCATTATAAACAGTTTTCGTCGGGGTTGATCAGTTGGTGATCTTCCGGTCTATCTAACTCATATATGGGCGGAGGCAGTAGAGTCCAAGGTATTGGCCGTTAGTTTGGACATTGCGAAGGCCTTCGATCGGGTTTGGCACAAAGCGCTTCTTTCGAAGCTCCCTTCCTATAGGCTTCCCGAGAAATTATGCAATTGGATCACCAGTTTTCTTGCTGATCGGAGCATCAAGGTCGTAGTAGACGGTGCATGCTCTGATTACAAGCCTGTTAACGCTGGTGTTCCATAAGGCTGCGTGCTATCACCAACGCCGTTTCTACTGCATATCAATGATATTTTGCAACGACAACTTTTTTCGACAGTTTAACAACGACAGCACTGGTGATGCAATATACACCGGCCGTACCAATATTTCTCGGGAAACGTCTCCGAGTACCGGAATAAAAGTAAAGTAAAGTAAAGTTGCAGCCTTTACACGTCCCACGGCTGGGCACAAGCCTCCTCTTATTTCTGAGAGGGTTTTAGGGCAAGTAAATGTCCGCCGCGCTGCCCCTATGCTTGTTGACGAACTTCATATGTCTTCGAGATATTTTTTTTTATTTCTCAAACATGCAGGTTTCTTCACGATGTTTTCCTTCACCGCCGAGCCCGTGGTAAATCGGCACTTAAAATTGCAATTAATAATTTCATTGGTGCCAGCGGGTATCGAACCCGAGTTTCTCACGTACTGTGAGACTTACAGCGAGCGCTAATCATCTGAGCTACCACGGCGCTACCGGAACAAACTTGTGTCTGATGTCGATTCTTTGCTGAACAAAGTCTCGGATTAAGAGCGGCTAAATCTAGTCCAGTTCAATCCCCAGAAGACACAAGTTTGCACGTATACCGCTAAAAAGAACCCCTTTGTCGTATCTCTTCAGTTTTAAGGCACTCCCCTTACTGCATCAGCTAGCATCGGCATCCTCGGCGTCGACATATCGAATAGTGTGCAGTTTTGGGGTCACTTGGAAGGGAATGCCAAATTGGCCTATAAAAAGCTTGGCGTGCTCAGCAGAGCGAGGCAGTATTTCATGTCGGCACATCGCTTGCAACTTTACAAAGCGCAAATTCGGCCTTTCATCTCTGTGCCGGGGCACGCCAGTGTTAGCTCCTTCCACTTGAACGCATCCAGCGCAGAGCGGTTCAAGTCGTCGACGTCCGAATTCTTTCTGATCGGCTCGATTGACTGGCACTGCGTAGGGATGTTGCATCTCTGTGCATTTTCTATCAAATTTACCACGGGGAGTGCTCTGAGGAATTGTTCGGTTTAATTCCAGCCGCCAAATTTCACGAACGCACATCGCGTCAAAATTCACGATACCATCCTCGCCATCTGGATGTTTGACGGGCCACCACTATGCGTTTTACTAGGAGTTTTCTTCCTAGCACAACTTCTCTGTGGCATTGTTAACCACCGGCGATTTTCCCGGGCCAATACGACTTAGGGACCTTCAAGAAAAGAGCTCACTCCTTTCTTAAAGGCTGGCAACGCACCTGCAATTCCCCTGGTGTTGCGATTGTTCATGGGTGGCAGTAGTCACTTACCATCACGTGACCCGCATGCTCGTTTGCCCCCTTTTCTATAAGAAAACGTACGACGAGAAAACCCTAAAATGTAAGTGCTTGATTGAGGGCTGAATACGACTATCAGGGTGGTTTCTAGAACACTCATTATACCCAAATTAATCCAATAACGGTACTTGGCACGACCTGGGATACGATTTAAGCCCAGGACCAAATCATGATTCACAGTCGCGCTAGTAACCACATACAGACAGACAAAATTATATACTTTCATGATATGTATTTAGTGAAAATCTGTTATTTTGACATTTCGAACAGACACTTCAATTTTATTTATTTGAATAGTTTCGTATTCGTAAAGTATGAAAGTTTGTAAAAAATTCGAAAGTGATTACTATATTATTTTGATCTTGAGGCGTCAGAAAACTTGGCTGCTCTTTTAATAATTCTTTTTTATAATTCAATACATGATCGTAGATATCAGTGTGATTTATACTGATGATCTAGTTAATTGGGAGTTATTAATAATTACTTTAAATAAAAGACAGGATTTTTAGTATATGTATTTGTTTACAGTCGACAGCAAAGTATAGCCGAATTTAATCAAAATGATTCGTTAGGTTCAAATTATTTTTCTTTATTAATTTCAGTATCAGTTAATTTAATTTCCTTTATGTGTTTATCTTGCACTCTATTTAGAAAAGCTAATATTTTTATTAGCATCTTGTACGCACAACATGATAAGATTTGCTCCAATTCCTTATTAATGAAAAATGGTAATTTCTTTTGTTAGAAATCTTTGAATATACCAAATAATTTTTTATCGTGTTTAGACATGACTTCTAGTTAAACTTTACACCTCAGAAGTGGTCATTATTAATTTTGCAAAGACGGAGATAGAGGTTGGTCGTAATTACGAGCTTCTGAATTTAAAAAAAATCTGGTAATCTGCCTCACTTTAGTCCTAAAAGGAACAAAAATACTATAACATATAATTTCATAAACTTTTAAAAATATTGTGTTCTGTTAAGAAAGTTCATCATTTATTGCGATATATTACTAAAAGTAATGAAATTGAAATAAAGATGCATAGCGTAATTTTAATAGAAAACGTTAAATATAGTTAAAGTCAATTTAAATATATAACGGCAAATTAAAGTTCATATCGAAACTTAATTTTAAAGTGAAGATAACGCATAATTAATTGAAACAGAACTTACATTTGTTATTTATAATACGATCGTTGCTGAAAGATGAAAAAATATGAGGGAGTACGTCACAAGGCAGTCGCGTTGATGCAATGAATATATCGTGCATGTGTCTAAAAACCTCGGGAAATAAACATAACCAGCCGTACAAAGATGGGTGCAAGCGGGGTAAGGGAGAGGGGGTCATTACAAAACTTGGTTTTAACCGGTTAATTCTTACTACCTAAACCGAAATTTGTGAAAAACCGGTATTCCGCAAAAACCGGTTTTGGAGTCAATGACCGAAACCGGTTTAGAATTTCAACCGGTTTCCGAGCCCTGCTTAGCACTAGTAGAATGACCACACTCGTCGAATGACTTAAGCAAAATCTCTCGCACACGGCACCTACAGTGAATTTTATACTGCACAAACAAGTGGGAGTTTCTCGATATACCCTCATGTCCACCTCGATCCAAGTGATATTTTATAGACGTTCCGACATGTACATATAAATTACACTAAAACTTATACAACTATTTTATTTTATAATTAAAAAAATAACAATAAAAAAAGTATTTAAACAAGTACTCACAAAAAATCTATTTACGTAAATAGTGTTAAATCATTTTGTAATGGCCAAACGCGCTAGCCCCGACTGCGTTTGTGAGCCGAGGTGCATCCCTACACCTCAGAAGGTGTTCGTCCGTAACGTTGGAGGGTGTTGTGGTGCGTGCAGGCGTACGTGCGCAGCCTGACGCTGGCGGTGCGCGAGGAGGCGGCAGCGCGCGGCGTGCACGTGCAGCACGTGGCGCCGCTGTTCCTGGCCACCAAGATGAACGCGTTCTCGCCGAGCCTGCTGCGCGCCGGCGCGCTCGTGCCCGACGCACGCACCTACGCGCGCCACGCCGTCGCCACGCTGGGCCGCGTGCACCACACCACCGGCTACTGGCTGCACGGCCTACAGGCAAGTCTACACCTGTCCATACATTCATTCTATTACAGTCTATGGAAGTCCACACCAGTGGCTACTGGCAGCACGACTTGCAGGCAAGTCTGCGCTCACACACTCTACGACACAAGTAGAAATAGAAATAGCGGGTTTGAGTTTTGGGTCGGACCAAAATTAGTTATTGGGTGACGCAGTCGCTTGCTATTTAAGTAGGGAGCGGTTACGTCACCGGGCTGTATAAAGCAGTTGTTTTGGCTCGCCGCTCACTTAGCGATCAGCCACCGCAGAGTCTACATCACCGGAAGATGCCTCGTGTAGAGGCGAAACACGTGTCGTATTGTTGTCAGTGGTGTGTCCATCCTAGTGTAGTAGTGTTGGGAGTAGTGGTGAAGGGGATAGAGCACGCAATTGAAAGAGGTCGGGAGGTGTTCTTCAAAGTAGGTAAGACACATCATTTTATTTTATCGAGCGGATATATGCGAGGTCATTTTTACCAACTTTAATAAATTACCCATTGTAAACACTTAAATCCAGTAATAACGACCTGAAAACATAATGACATAAATGCCATTCCTATATGTACGATGTACATCTATACGTCACTAATAGGACCACCGGGTTGTTTGTTACATACTATATGGGTGGGGCGGGGGCTAATACAGTTTGTACCATAGACTTAGAATATACTGGCGTAGTATATTCTAAGTCTATGGTTTGTACCATAGCTAACGCGACCATACGTCTCGCTTCGAGCGGGATAGTCCCACTTTTAAGATGTGTCCAACTATCCCCAAAACACTTAAAAATGTAGCGTTTGACAAACAAAAGCGTAGCAGCGTGCAAGTCCTGTCCCCTGTGTCATCGTTGTGGGTCTGCAACGCGCGTACCAGTTTTGCCAAAAAGTTAAGGTTGGCATGTCTGAAAAGATACATTTTTAACCCTTTCCCTGTCCCATGAGTTATATATGAACATTCAATTGTTTAACTATTGTGTCTATATCGCGGACAATTTTTTAATTGTCTTACAAGGGTGCATCCTTTACGGGCTGATAAAGAAAGAAGAAAAAAGAAAGATGTGTACTTGAGTGCGGTTCAAGAAATTGAGCATAGTTTCGGAGTCACTTGAAATGATATACGTAGCGTTCCATCTATCTTTCTTTGTTAGTCTGAGACCGTAAGGAAAAAAATAGTGGAATAAAGTTTAGGATTATTATAATAAATGAATGGAGTAGAAGTCTGAAGGGTAAATATTTTTCAAATGTAATGTTTTTTCATTGACAAATTGCCACGAGTAACGGGTGTACCTGATTGAAATTTCTTTATTAAGCGCTTTGCATTTCTTTTTTCAAATTAAATCTTTTGATATATAAAATTGAAAGTATTTAAACCATAGGCTTCTACTTCGTTTACTTTATACACCCAATTATTTCCTTATGGTAAGAAAGACCCCTGTTTTGTAGTCTCTCATAACTGCCCCGTAAGAGGATCCAGTGTTAGCGGAAGATAATCCAGAGCCCGATGTCATCCTGTGAGTATTGTAAGAGCCAGCACAGGGAAACTGAAATGCAGCATAAATTCATGCATCAGACATTCGGTTTGGAGAACATTATTGTGATATCGGGTAGTGCATTTCCTTACTCACTCACTTCACGTCCTACAATAAATATGCGTATTTACCAAATACATTTAAGTAGTAGTAAATTTAAATCTCTTTAGTATTTGTATCTCTTTAGTTGTTGTCTCTTTAGTACATGTTATTTATAAAAGTTCTCAATATTTTATTTTGATTGCAAACTTTCCTGAATTTGAGAGGGAGTTCCAAAGACGGCCAGATGGAATTGAGAAAGAAGAATGGGCAAAGCTTGAGCTTAGAATTTTTTCAATATATCCGATTAACCGATATTAGTAAATTATATAATTTAAATAATATATTGTAAATTGTAAATACATTATCATATTTGATTTCTATTTCAGTATTTCTCTATGAAGTTAGCCCCTGAATGGATAAGGATCAAAATAGGCATGCACATAAACAAATACTTCAGGAATGAGTACTTGCAGAATAGCAGGGTGGAGGCACGCTGACTTTCCAAGTCGAGATCTAGTACAATATATGCATTTGTGAATAACTGTACAATATTTGTAAAAAATATTTTATACGCTTGAAAATTTGACGTAGTTACCAAAAAATGATTCAATCCAAACCCTGATTCGAAATCAGTAATAATAATATACTTTCAATTAATGCTTCTCATTACTTTAATTCTAATTAATATGACTGCCTCCTTAGTGTGAGTTCGTAAGTATGACTACTGTTCAAGTGGTCCCGGTTTCAAGTAGTTCTCAGTAGCATGGAAGAAGGGAATAGAATTGCACCTGCACCTGTGCACTAAAATGGCAACCTTGACAGGAATTCGCTCCGGATGACATTATTACTAAATACCATTAGAGCAAGCCGCATTTGATAAAGAGCAAAATTAAAAATAATTCGTAGCAAGCCACCGTAAAAACATATGCCGATCTAAATTCACACCTCAATATTCCAAAAGTAATATATTTGTGAATTGGATCATTTTTGAATAACACGTCCAATGGTAGTAGGTACATACGTTTGATATTTCTTTTCCTTTTTTTCTCCTATTTTTTTCCAATATCTTTCTCTTCCTATTAGGAATTGCGTAGTTGACACCGTCATGAAATTACTATATACAAATATAAAATTTGAATTATTTTAGAAATATGTAATAATATTTTTATAATTTTTCTATAGTTGGCGTCATTGGAGCATTGGGGTTTTTTAAAAATTAACAACACGCAAAATAATAAGTAATGAATTGTTTAATTTTATCTAAAAGAATAAAAAAAATTAAGTGTCACGCATTGATCATGAGCTGTGATGAACCTAGTGAGAATATTACATATATGGTAAGAAGAATTCGAGCTTTTCACATTTTTAAAAAGAATCGGAATAGTCTCACCTTGCAACTCTATAAGCTAGCGAAACCGCTGTAATCAGGTGGTAAGAAATGCCAAACACCGCCGCATCCACAATAGTATTTTAAACTGCTCTTCCGCAAATATATGGAAGTTCCTTAATTCCCTAGGATTTGGAAAACACATTCCAATTCTCTAATTCCAAATATTTCACTCAAACACTTGAACAAAAACTTCTCTTCTGCTTCGCGTCTGCATTATTCCACTAAAGTTACGACTCTCCAGGAACTTAATTCCATGCCATTGATATCGAGTAATTCTTTCAACGTCAGTTCAGTGATTGATGAGGATACTACAAAATCCATACTTTCAATAAAATCTTCCGAAACCGGCTATGATGAAGTGAGTAGATCTATGATACTTCTTATACTCGATACTCCACATTTAACATTACTCCATTTCTCACTCACATCATCAATTTCTCATTTTCTACTGGTGTATTTCCCAAGTTATGGCTAAAAGCTTATGTCTTGCCCCTAGCTAAAGTACCTAATCCATCGCTTCTTTCCCATTTTAGACCTATTTCTATACTGCCGTTTCTTTCCAAAGCACTTGAATCATTAGTACAAAAACAAGTCACCTCTTTCATTTCAAAATGCAATTTCCTCTGTACATATCAGTCTGGCTTCCGCCCGGGACACAGTACAACCACAGCATTACTTCAAGTTACAGAAGACTTTAGAGATGTTTGACTGTTCTTGTCCTTATTGACTTTTCAAACGCATTCAATTGTGCCGATTACGACTTACTCGTTGAATTAATTTCACGACTAAATTTCTCCTCATCAACATTGAACTGGTTTTCCTCTTATCTTTGCAGTTGCTAGTAGGCTGTTCGGTCTGTTCAGGATTTTTCCGACTGGTGCGATCTCTCACTAGGTGTACCGCAAGGCGACATTCTTTCCCTTCTCTTGTTTTCGGTGTTTATCAATCTTCTAACTACCCACCTTCAATGTTTTTACCACCTCTATGCTGATGCTCTCCAGCTATACTCACAAGCGTCCTTGGCTGAAATTGATACTGCTATCGCAGCTATTAATCGTGACTTACAACGTATATCACACTGGTCACAGCGCTTTGGTATAAAGGTAAATCCCAGTAAATGCCAGGCTATCGTCATTGGTAGTCGTCTATTGGTGTCACAACTTAACACATCTGAACTACCAGTCATTCACTATGAAAACTGCGTAATACCTTTCAGAACTAGTGTCAAGGATCTGGGTTTAATTATCGACCCGCCTCTTAGTTGGGTATCACAGGTGTCCGAGGTTTGTCGTAAAGTCACAGGCATACTTCGTTCCTTCTATAGCCTTAAGTTCTTTCTGCCTCCTTCAACTAAACTTCTTCTCGTCCAATCCCAAATTCTTCCATTATTTGACTACTAATATTTCTCAGGAGCTGCTAAACAGGTTGGACAGGTTATTTAACAACTGTATACGATTCATCTTTGGCCTGCGCAAATATGATTACGTTTCCGAATTCCGCTCTCAGTTCAAGTGGTTGTTTCGGAAGTTTCCGAATCCTGTCCACTCTGTTTTCAGTTCTTAATGTTTCTTCCTCACCTCTTTATCTAAAAGAAAGTTTTCAATTCCGTAGTGGCACTCATTCTCTCAATCTCCGTTCTTCACATAGCTTATTCCTGTCTACTCCTCTCCACCATTCTGGGTTTATGTCAATTTCCTTCACAGTTACTTCCATCTCCCTCTGGAACAAAGTGCCTGTTGACCCGCGAAAAATACCTGTTAAAATGTTTTTGAAAGAATATTATTGGAGCATATCTGTAGCCTATAAAGTTGAGTCTAATTACTTTATATCTTTATAGTTATTTATATACATACTTAATGACTATAAATTTATAATGAGATATATGTTGTGTATTTATTTGTGTGTGTATATTTTATGTATGTTTTGCATGTATACGAGTACATATAATATTTGAATCTAATTTGATCGTAATAAGTTAACTGCCCAAACTCACTCTCTGTTCTATCCAAGGTTAGCTGGTTGAGAATGCCATATAACATTAAGCTCGCCTTTTGTACAAATATTTGGTGCAATAAAGAATAAAATAAATAAATAAATAAATAAATATTAGGTTATAATCATAGTGATAATAATAGCTCGTCCACAAGTGGGTGAAATCTGAAATACACACATTAAACGGTGGCAAATGTCATAAGGTTTTTTTTTTAAGAAAAATCGTTCGAGTTTTTGTCAAAAATTGTACTGATTGAAAAAAAAAGCTTAAAAATATTTTTTTTTTAGTATTTTTGAATATTCTTAAAAACAAAAGTAAAATGAGGATTGTTCTTCAGTTAACAAATCTAGCTAGTCGTGTGGTCGTGGGGTCTTTAATAAAATTAATATAAGGATTTATATAAACAAATTCGCAAACCCGTCCAACGTAAGTTATAAATCTTTATATATAAAAATTACGTGTCACGTTGTTTATCCGCGATGAACTCCTAAACTACTGAACTGATTTCAAGCAAATTTTGGCACACTGTGTGCATTGTATTCCAACTTAAGAGATAGGATAGTTTTTATCCCGATAAATGACCCTCAAAATTTTTTATTGCGAATTTAAGGATTTTTTATAGGAAGGGTCGTCGGAAAGGGCAGAACAACGTCTGCCTGGTGAGCTAGTTATAATATAAATTAATAGATGACTCTGATATTATTCATTATTATATTCAAAACAAAAAGTTCTAAACCATGCTAGATAATATGTTGATCTAAAGTTATAAGAGTAGTTTTATGTAAAGATTTAAAATAGTATAGTCATAGAGTAATTTTTTTTTGTGCAGCAACCCTAGAAATGTAACCACTTATTAGGAAGATACGACTTTACTATACAACTGTTTTAAGGAATTCTGACAATGAAAAATAAGAATCTGTGAAACAGATTAGAATAACTGGAAAAATTAGCTTTCTTTGTCTTGCTGTCCTTTCATTTTTTCATATTTACTGTACAGCATGATATATGTTCACAAAACTACATAAGTTATTTCGCTTTTGTATATGAACGGCGCTTATTTGTTGTTATGCACATATGATAAAATACAAAATATTGATTGGTTGTTGAAATAGTTTTAAATAAAGGAAGTTATTATATAATTGTACGTTGTTTTTTTTTTAAATTTCCTCAGTTATATTAACTCAACAGGTTAAGACTACAAAATTGAAACATAAGGTGAAAAGTGGAAAAAGCGGGTAATCCGCCACGACAGAGAAGTTCTTATTATCTAGGAAGGAAATCTCGAACAAGAAACCCTCAATAGCAACGAGCAACCTTTCGAAGCGCGGTAACGATACTCAGCGTTCCATGGAAGCAATAAAACTAATTAGTGCTCCGCCACAGCGCCTACTGGAAAACTATTACTTGCATTCACATGATACTATAGCCGTGTAGTGGCGGTAAAGAATATCCACTACCCCATATCTTCCCGTGGGTGTCGTAAAAGGCGAGAAAGGGATACAGGCAGGAGATGGGCAGCAGCATCTTCCTGGTGACGGCAAAAATACAATAAAAAAACTGCGGTTGCCAACCCGCTCGCCAAGCGTGGCAACTATGGCAATATACCCCCCATGATGAAAGTTACGAAGAGACGGCCCCCAGTCCCCGGCGGCGCCGCTATTCCTGGCTACGGTGGCGACCATGGTAACGGCGGGGCAGGGGGTGATAAGAATCTCCGGTGGAGGTTCGGTTGCCACCTACGACGACTCGACCTGGCAACATACAACGCACGCACCCTGAGGACTGACGAGAAGATTGTGGAGCTGGAAGAAGAGATAGACAAGTTACGCTGGCATATTATAGGATTATCCGAAGTCCGAAGAGAGGGGGAGGACACGGTAATCCTCGAATCAGGCAACTTGCTCTATTACCGGGAAGGCGACCATCTGTCCCAAGGAGGTGTCGGATTTATCGTCCAAAAGTCTCTCGTTAACAACGTTGTAAAGATTGAGAGTGTGTCGACGAGGGTTGCGTACCTTATACTCAGAATCACCAAATGGTATTCGCTGAAGGTCATACAGGTTTACGCACCAACCTCGGCACACCCCGATCAGGGGGTGGAGGAAATGTATGAG